GCATCATATAAACATATTTTTATTGTAACAGGGAAAGTTTCTATTGTTTTCTTCACTTCCTGTAAAAAAGTGATTCTGCTGTTTGCAACCTTTTTAGAGGGAGGTATTCAATTCTACAACCACCTCAAAACACTAAGAAAACACGTTTGAATTATCAAGAGGACTTGGAGGTTAGTTCAGGCATTGCTTTTCATAAAGCTTTGCTGGTTTAAAAAATTCACTAAGTAATGCTCAAAATCATTCATTTTTGTCTCTACAGTTTTACCAAAGGAATGTTAGGGTAATAATAATGTATACAAGTAATACAGTTAAAATACATATTAGTACAAATTACTAACTCACAAAACCGTTTATTTTCCCTAATAGTAGCGAGCAGTTTACGTAATCATAAGTCATCAGCCTCATTTATTTTCTGATAATTTGTTATCATATTTTTTAATTTGATGGCTATTAAAAAGTTTTGTATTTTTAAAGTCTATTTGTTTGCATATTTGTAAGTAAAATTATCACACTATCAAGTTAATATTATACCAACTCAAATAGTTTCAAGTTATATATAATTTTTTGGTTGTTTGAACTCATATTAAGAAAAGGTAAGTTAGGTTTCAACAAATTGATCATTTTTCTGTGACTCCTAATGTAGTTAACACCAAATTTTCAAATTATATGCACTTTATGCTCACTTTTATAAAAATATGCAATATTTGACATTTTTGCATTTTTATGCATTATGTGCAAAATATGCAATTTGCATATTTGCTTAAGTTTAATAATTATATTTCCTATAATAAAATCATATAATAAATTCATATCGAAATGCCAGTTAACCTATTTTTTTTTGTTCAGTCTATGCTGAAGATTTCCATTATATTTTTATTATTTAATTAAAATAATTGATCGTAATTATTAAGATCTTGTGATGCATCAATCATCAGCACGTGATAAATTCTCTCAGTATGCGACACAAATTATATTATGAACAATTATTTGTTTTGATTAAGTACGATAACAATATCACGAATATGACATAAGATTTGACCAGCACTGAAGATAAAATAATAATTAAATAGATTATTTTTATTGTCTCCGTTAAATTATAACTGTTATTGTAATGGAATATTATCTTCTGTATGTCATTAAAAAAGAAAATATTTTATCCATACAGAAACAAGATCTTTGTAAAACATTGTTTTGTATTAAATAGAGTAGAAAACTACGGAGTTTTAATTGGGATGTAATTTTAATATCACATGACTCAATCCAAAAGAAGATATTATGTATTCATACATGTTGTATAAAAATTATGCTATAATAGAAGCCACAGTTAGAATGCAGGGCAGGTAAGATAGGCAATGTATTTCTTACGGGAGAACGGTCGACCATGTTGCCGGTTTGTCCCGAGCGGCGCATCAGCACCGGATTTAAGAATCATGACACTGAAATATACGCTAACACAACAATTGCTTACCATTGTATAAAAGACTATCATTATTGTTACAACTAAAGCATGATAAAATCATCGATGTATAAATAAGAGAGTTACATTGTCGAACTAAACAATACCATGAAGAAAAATACTATAAAAGAAGTAAAATATATCCAAAACTCATTGTTGATAGCTTATCTATATTTATTAAATTTCAATAGCTTCCATTGTAAACAAATTCTTTGGAAATAAATGGCATGGAATCATAGACGTTAAGAGTACTTTCCATTACTAAGTTGAAGACCTTCGAAATGTGGACGTTGCGAAGAATATTCCGCATACCATGGACAAATAGGGTGAGAAACAAGGAAGTCTTAAGAAAGGCAAATACTGAAAGGAAACTACTTAATTTGATCAAGTTACGAAAAATTGGATACCTCGGCAATGTTCTGAGAGGAAACAAATACGCAATTCCCCAACTAATCATCCAGGAAAAGATTCAAAGCAAGAGAGAAGTAGGTACAAATGTAGTGGCTACGGAACACAAAGAACTGGATAGGCATACATAACACTGGCGATCTTTTGCATGCCGCAAAGGTCAGACGTCTTGCCTTAAGATAATTCGCCAACGCACTATAGGTGTACGGCACTATAGGAAGAAGAAGAAGGGAAATAAAGATCATAATAAACATGTCTCTTTGTCGATTTAGGTACTGGCCCTTAGACCAAAAACTTCTATTCTGTTCTATTTCATTTTTGCAAGCGGATGAAATTACCTACATCAAGGAGTTGTTACCTTAGTGATAAAATTGCGTACGTCGAACATTGAAAGGTTTAAAATTCTCATGATACGAGAATTCGACTGACACCATGTTCCGCGAGCTCTCCCGATTAAAGGTGATATGCAAATTGGTTTCCCTGGAAATCTTGTCTGCATGATCTGAAGGAATCGAGGCTCTGTGTACAGCGCCTGTACTTAGGGGTTCAGGACCCTTCAGCTGACGGCAACGTCCACGACAATTACCCGCTCATTCTGTTGCGCGACAAGGTCAGGTATCTTCAGAGTACCGTCGGCGCATCTTATTCGCGGCCCAACCTCGCAAATCCACTCTTTCTTTTCCGCTGCTTTTCGTAGATTCCTAATGAGCTGGTCATGTCTCTTAATGCGGTGCCAATGTAATGCAGGGCACTTTTGCAAAACGTGACTAAGGCTCTCATTGCGTCCTTATCCCTTTCGGCACCTTCGTTCATGTGGTGGATTTGAAGGGATGCCTCTAGTTGGCAGTAGATTTCCTCGCAACTGGATTGCCTTGACAAAATCTCTCCTCGACCAGTAAGGCGGTGGATTGTTTATCCAGGCCGAGCTTTTGGAATGTGAAGAATCTTGGCGAAGTCCGTTTCCACTATAGTCGTTCCCAAGTTTCTGGCTTAAGATACGTGCGATAGATGCTAAAAAATTGCCCGAAGATGTTCTAGTCCATTTAAGGATTTTCTTTCAGAGACGTGACATATATGGTTAACTGAGAGCTAAAGACGTCGAACCAGTAGCTGAGCTGATTAATTTATTCAGTCTTCTTCTCATGATTGCCGAGACGTGCATGGCCATGGTCATGACGCCCAGGCTACTCTCTTTTGTGGGAGCGTGAAAGTAAGCATTTGCACACGTACGATTGACGGACAGAAACTTCCGAACGGCTATACGCACGAACCTGTCAAAGCCTTTCAACGTTTTCATAGTGATCGTTGGACTCTGCAACTTGTCATTATTAGTCGGAAGCAAGTATGCTTCTAAAACCAGCAGTTTTTGCGCTGGTTTTAGCCCCGCTCGATGAATACGATCGAGCTGTGTCTGCAGCTCGTTGAAGGCCAACCTGGTCTGTCATAGAGCATTATACCTTCGGTCTAGGTATACAACCAGCCCACTCGGTTGCAGCTGCCGAATCCTGTCGTTACCGACAGAAAAGAGAGAGCGAGTCACGCAGGAAGAGTACTTATTACCACGGTTGACCTTAACCGTAATAGCCGCACTCTTAACAGCGTTTATCGACATCCCTCTCTACTCGAAGAAATCGACGGCTGTTCGGAGCTGTTTGGTACCATCTTTGGCCGATTCGCACAGCAGGATTAAATCATTGGATTGGAAGGCCAGGCCCGCCGTTATCAATAAAAGAAAAACTGCAGAAAAACAAAATTTTCTCTCTCTGATGATGAGTGGTCCAAATCCTTGTTCCTTGTAGCCTATACTATCTATTCTTAGCAGCTCCCTAGGTAATCAGCAATCTTACAACAAATTGTTGCAAGTTTATCGTCCTTAATGATCTCCTTCAAATGCACGCATCGTTCAAATTATGCTAGCATCTTCTTCTCTCGATAAACTGAATCTCTCGTTGGCCTGAGTGAAAAATGACTCTTGGAATATCTTCTCTTTACGATAAACTGAATCTCTCGTTGGCCTGAACAGTGACTCTTGGAATATAAGTAAAAAAATATGACTTACAATCTTTTACTGAATCAGCTTCTGTCAGATACACTAACTACACGAAAACTCACAAACTTTCACTGCTATTGCTTCCTACCTCTGGGAAACTACTCGAGAACAACGGCCGTTCGCCTTGCACCCTTGGAAACCAACTGACTATCTGTTTTCTCTTCAAAAACTAACTAAAGTCTGATTCTCAAACCAACATCCCACCTTTTTCAATCTTATCCAATCAAAACGCGTCATACATCTCCCATTTCTTCATTTCGATAACACAAACAAATTTTTACCTACAATTATAAAATTTCCTAAAACTTATTTACAAAATAATATTTTTCTACCAATTCTTATGAACTAACAAAAACATATCTTTCTAAAATCTATTCTATTGTCCTAATTACTGCACAAATTTATTTGGAAAACCCGCTTCCATTGTCTAGGATTTCACTTAAGCTTATGCAGGTCACTCAAATATATTTTAACAAAGAAAATAATTTATGCATATCTTACGTTTTGTTCAATACAGGTAATCCAAAATTAAAAGACTTTCATTCTTCGAAATGTTTGTAGTTTATTTCGACTTATCTGAATTATTTTAATTTTTTGAACTTTGAAATATTTTAAGCAAACCAATATTTTTCTCGATTTTAGATATCATAACAATATATATATATATATATATATATATATATATATATATATATATATATATATATATAGATATATATATATATATAGATATATATATATATATATTATATATATATATATATATATATATATATATATATATATATATATATATATATGGTAACATAAAATTTCGAATAAAGATCTTAGGTACATTTGAAATAGTAAAATAGTGGTTTATCGTACGTGGTTTAATTTTAATGTCATTTTTATTGAACTTATATTAGAAAATCGGCGACAAACCAGCAGTTCTTCATTTAATAATTCCGTCTCGGTAGCGTCCTACGCTCGGCTTACACCTACGAAATTTTCATCGTTCAGACTGGAATGAATATTGTACTATTATCTAATAAAATAGTAATTCATAGTAGACAAATGCCATTCTTTAAAACTAAAACAAATACTTTACATGTCTCGATACAAAGTTGACCGGTTGAAAAAGTTCGGCAAAAAAGCGTTTTTGAACATGAATTATTTGGTAAGTGTAATGACTTTTAACGACGTTTATTGTGTGATTATTAAAGAGATATAAGTACGGAAGCATTTGCCCATTTAATGGTGTAATGGCCGTTTAAGGTTTTCTCCACTTACTAACCAGGCTTATATATTATATTTTGTTTATTTGTGTAGCTATTTTGGGTCGTTTTATTGTACATAAATTACTATTTTTGGAAGTATATCTGTATATGGTAATTTTATTCATATTTTGAACACAAACTTGAGATAGAAACTATTGTTTTGTTATAATAATACTTTTGTGTTTGTGTGCAGTACATATAAATTATTTTAGAACTTTGTAAAGTATATTTGGAGGATATCTTCGTGCTCTACTAGGGGAAAGGGGGGAATAGTGACCACCTAAGCAGTTTGGTTTATTTATACTGCTACATAGCTTTAAAAATTATACTGTTAATGTAAATAAAACTTCAAACCTTAGTACTTCAAACTCTATTTACGAAAATTTTTTAAACAGAACAAAAACGGTTTTTCAGACTTCTGCTGGTGGCCATATTTACCCGTTGCTGAGGGGTAAAAGTCACTATAATTATTTAAAAAATAATTAAATGCAGAAATCGTAAATGTAAATTTTTCCTTCGAAACTGGTACAGTCTTTGTGTGCCCATTCGCCGCAAATCCTGCATTGGATCCAGAGTTCTCTGTTTTCACCGAATTCGCCACAAATTATGCAAATATCTTCGTTAACGTCCCTATCACGGTCATCGTCATTATTCTCATCTTTAGACGATATATCTTCTGCGCTCTTATACAGTCTCCTTTTGGAACTATTCGCGGAGGACTGGACTCTCCAATGCCTATTTTTCGTTTAGTTCCTTTGCTGGCTTTATTTCTGATTTGCTCTTCCTTCTTCCGCTGTTTTCCTTCTAGAAATAACTTCATTGGTGTTGATGTCATTATTTCGGAATGTTGCCTCCTGTTGCTTTTATGGTCGGATCTTTTATTTTCAACTAAGTCATCTTTTGAGCATTCTGGTAGTGAAATAATGTCAACAAAAGATACTTCAAACTTTTTGTCATGTATCATCATTATCTTGATGCTTCTGCCCTTAGAGGGCATCGACCTTCTCAAGCTTTCTAAGTAAGTTCTAAATAATATTAACCATAAATTTCAGATCCCTGGCTCAATTCAATTTCCTTCTTTTGTCCTCCTGCTCCTTTTTCTTTATCACCCCAGAAATCAGACAGTGTACTCTATTCTTTCTCTCCTCTCAACATTATATTTCATCCAGCCCGAAACCCATTCACCTCTCGAAATCTGCCCTCTCATTTGCCCATCTCTTGCAGTTAAAAATGTGGTCGGGAACATCTGGTAACCCACAAACAGTACAATCTGCCGAGGCAGATTTGCCTATTCTATTTGTGAAGGTGCCGCAGAAACTACGCCAGAAAGTAATCTAGTTCCCTGGACTCACATTTACACCACGGTCTCAGATCGGGAATAAGCTCCTTCGTCCACCCTGCCTTTCCACTATCATTCGCCCATTCTCTCTGCCACTTTACTACCGTTCTTTCTCTGTCATTCTCATCTATATTTACATCCATCCTCTTCGCATACATGCTCGCTCGCTCTTTGCACAACAAAACGATCGGTATCACCGTTCCAATGACATATAGAGGCTCATTTGAAACTGTCCTATATGCGCTAGATATCCCGAGGAGCATTCGCCTTTGCGAAGTCTTCATCAGCTTAGCGTATTTCGCCGTATTTAGTATGTTACACCACACGGGGGCAGCGTAGGTTATCACCGACTGGAAAACTCCATTTATCACCTTTCTTTTTGTGCTACCTGGGTCTTTAATATTTGACTTCAGCCGTATCAACGCCTCTTCGGTTCGCCTTCTCTACTGTCTTTTGGATGTGTACTCCAAACCTTAGTCCTTCCTACAACTAGACTCCCAGATATTTAATTGATTTAACCGGTGTAACCTCCACAACCTCCACTATAAAGCGAAGAGAGGATTTTTCCCAGGTCTCTTTGAGAACTAACACTTCAGTTTTCTGCGCCAGCTGTAGCTCATTCTCTCTGATCCACATACTAATGCGACGCAGGGCTGTGTTAGCCGCATTAGCCATGTCTGTTTTCTAACTCGCCTTCGCAACCAGTGCGAGGTCATCGGCATAAGCTACAAGAGTGGATCCCCTTAGCATCTGTAGCCTCAACACCCCGTTGTACAGGACATTCCACTGAATGGGAATATAGAATATAAAATAAAATAGAATACCTTTGATGTGGTGAATAAGGGAGTCGGGTTTGTTGCAAATCTAAGCATTCAACTACTGTATCTTCTAACTCTTTATAAAGCTCAAAATCTACATTTTTGCACGCCAATGCCTTTGTGCTTTTCACTGGTGCAATAATATTTTTGTTTCCGAAATTTTAGATTCCTCTTGGTTATGTTTAGTAATGTTTTGTTATGAATCACATCGTGAACATGTATCAGAGTGTGGCCGATGGTATCTTAAATTTAAGTCTGTATTCAAAACAAATCGGTAATATGAAAGTTTTACAACAGTACAATTTTGTTCCGCACAATCAGCCTTGCAGAAATCATACATTTTTTTAAAAGTCAGTGGGAGTGATAAATATTTAGCATTTGCATTTGCTTGGCATGAATAGTGACTACTGTATTTAGGAAATTTTTTTTTTTGTTCAATTACCAATCTACGCCTTTCTTCACTCATTTTTCGTTTACTCGGACCCTTTCTCGTATATCTGGCTTACACATTTGTAGATTATTGGATTTTTGACAAACTACTATAAATCTCCTATTGGTAATATCGAACGTATTCAAGAAAAGCTCTTTACATACCTGTTGGTATGTCGGTATGTCGTCTGGTGGTCATAAGTTGAAAGTTCTTGTCTTATTTCCTCTGTAAAATTTAAACTACTTTTATATCTACGACTGTGACCCAACTTCACCATTTTTATTTTTCTATGCAGTTTTATATGCAAATACGCATAGTCTATGCAGTCTATGCGTTTATGAAATTAAAATATTTTAACTACAATCAAAACAAGAAAATTGGAATATTTCGAATATACTACACTTGGAGAGATATACAACTTGCTTCAACGATGGTAGAGAAAGATCCAAGATCCAAGGAAAGAGAAGCTTAGGGAGACATAGCACCAAACTACGCTTAGATTGAAACCCTATGTTATTTAATTTCTAAAAACGCTATATTTTTGTTCACGGTTGTTTTAAATTGACTATGAGCAGTAAATATATTCAAATTTCTTATACAATTTATTTATTATATCCAAAGTTAAATGTTCATTACTGTATGTGCGATAATAGCAAAATTATTGGGAAACGCTTCTTTAAATTGCCAAGCAGGAAGACATAAAACACGTTGTCAATTCTTCTATTACCGACTTCCATGATATATTATTAAAGTCATTGAATCCTATTAACATCATGTCAAATAGAACTACTTTGTTTATAAATAAAATGCGAATCACCTTCGCTTAATAGCGTTCGAAATATAGATGCTGGTAGTATTATGTGCGCTACTCAAGTCAAACAATCTAAAAAACAAAAATAAAGTTAAAAAATCAGTAATTATTGATTTTCAGGTATAATAAAAATAATGAAACAATGATTGACTGCAAGTTAGAAAACGAAACCTTAATTAAATCAGCTTGGTCAAAAAATTATTAAAAATATTTTAAAATATTTTGTGTCTCTTCCATGAAGCAAACTTCTATGACCAAAATTAACCATGACAGCTTTTTTTCTTATAATCATATTTCCACTGTTTATTACGAACATTATAACATTACAAACTAAAAATTGAACAGATTATAGGTGAAAATTTAGATTTTATGACTTAATTAATAGATGTCATATAAAAAAAAAGGTAAAAATTATATCCGGTTAAAGGAGGAGGAGCGAACTTTTCGAACTGCGTATTATATTATATTTATGTATTAGTTAACTACGTTATAGGAAATAGTATTCGCTTGATGTTTTCAGTTCGATAAGGCTCTCATTTCTTCATTTATTCTTCTTTCCTATATATAGTTAGTTGTTGTTTCGGCCGTCCTTGTGTTTACATCGTAGTACCTAAACTCTCTTAGTATTCTGTTGGGGTGGTTCCTGAGTCCATTAAAAATGTCATATGGTCTTTCGTCTATTATTCTTAATATTCTTTGCTGACCAGAGTCAATAAATAAGTATCTTAATGGGACATATTTAGGTATCTTTAGGGCTTCTCTGATCATCCAGTTTTGGGCTGTTTGAATCTTTTTTCTATTGCTTTTGCGTGTGTGTCCCCATGCGGTAGATGCATATGTTAGTGAGGATAGTATTATGCTGTTAGCCACTCTCATTTTGGTTTTAAAACGAAGTTTGCCCTTTCTACCTATTAGCGAAGAGATTTGACTTCTTACCGCTTTTGTTTTGTAGACTGCTTGCTTTACGTGCTCAGTGAATGTGAGCTTTCTATTTAGTATGACTCCGAGGTATTTCGCCTTGTTAGTACATTCTACAAGGAGTGTTGGTTATGTGTTTTTTGGGGTTCCGGGCAATTTTCCACTTTATGCACCATCTTTGGAACCTATTCAGAACGCTTTGCGTGTGACTGGCAGCTAGGTTAGGATCTCTACTGCTAGCTGCAATGGCTGTATCGCTTGCGTACGGACTAACCAGTGTTCTGGGGTCTGTTGGAGTGTAAGCTGTGTAGATAGTGTATAAGTATGACGATAGCACCGCTCCCTGAGGCACACCAGCCTCCAGTGCTCCGAGCTCCGATAGGGTTGTTTCTATTCGAATTATAAACCTTCTATTAGCCAGGTATGACGCAAGGAGACATGCCATCATCTCACTGTAGCCTAGGTTGCTTATTTTATAGAGCGGACCTTGATGCCATACTCTATCAAAAGCTTTTCTCACGTCGAGGAACGCCGTTGCTATGTACAACTTCTCGTTAAAGCCTTTGGTGATGAATTCTGTCAGC